TCCTGAGATGGGGGCCCGTGGGGTGGGCCAGTGAGAGCTCTTGCACTTGCTGTAAGTCCCAAGGGGGACAGAGGGCAGGTCCCCTCCCTAAGAGCCATGCTGCGCCATCTACCCAAGTTCATGACTGGGAGACCTACCCTTCCTCTGTCCCAGCCCGACAGAACCCACCACCAGCGACAGTCACTGAGTGGGCGATCTCACCCACTGGCTGGCAGATGTCTGGGCAGGGAACCTCTGCTGAAGGGCCACGTGGATGGCAGTGGCCGGTCTGGCTGCTCCCGGAACAAGGGTTGGCCTCAGGGCTGTTTGGTTGAGAAGCTGCCATTACATCAGAGGTGCAGGGGGAAAGAGGCCTTGAACTTTAGAGAGAGGGTCACGTTCTGTCCCAGGAATTAGACTTAGGAGGACAGTTCCATTTTCCCCAGTCTAGCACTTTGATGCCGCGGACTTTATTCCCCTCTGGTCTGCACAGCCCCTGGGGAGCCTCCCTGGACAGTGAAGAGGAGCACGGTGGGAGGTGGGAGGTGGGGAGGGAGGAGCTCGAGGTTCCCCCCCGGGCTGTAAGGTGGTGCTCTGGGGGCTAACTGCGTGCTTCTCACCTGTTCAAAACCTTCTAGGGTGGAAACCAGCAGCCTACTGCGGAACCAGGAGGAGCCATGGAGGAGCCGTGGAACGGGGAGGACAGCCTCGACGAGAGCTGGTCCCCACCCCAGCCCACTCAGGGCCACCCTGAGAGAGAACATGAGGGAGTAACACTGGGGGGGGGGCTGACTGTCCAAGACCTCCGCCAGAGACGCCTCCTCCCTGTGTCCTGCTCTTCCCCAGGAGAGGTGTGCAGTGTCTGCCGGGTGACAAGGCTCTGACACGGGCTTGTCCATTTCTCCTGACTACAGGACACTGATTTGTTTGGAAGTGCAAACTCTGGGGACTTACTTTTCTGTCCCGTCCTCAGTCTGGTACAAGGGAGCCGTGAGTTGTGGGTGGCCGTGTTGCTCTGCAGACCCAGGCTGTCCATCAGATGGGCTGTCCCAAGGTCGAACCAAGGATGGAGAAGCCTTACAAGTGTTTGGGCCTTAAAATCCAAATCCATGCCCTGACCGGTATGAAATGGTTGCTTAGATGTCATCCCACAAAGCAAAATGTCGCCAGTTCGATCCCCAGTCAGGACACACGCCTGAGTTGCGGGTTTGGACCCTTGTTGGGGCCTGTACGAGAGGCAACTGAGGTTTCTCTCTCCTTTCCCCTAAAAATAAACTCTTAAAAAAAATCCAAATTCATGTTCTTCAATCAGCTTTATCAGTAATAAAGTTGATAAAGGGGGAAAAAAATCTGAGGTTAAAGCCAGTGGGGGCAGCCTTGAGCCTCCTGTCTGCTGAAACAGGACTCAGAGGGCTCTGTCCTCCAGGGGAAGAGAGGCAGACAGGACCAGGTCAAGTTTAAGGGCATGCATTCCTCAAGCCACAGACAGGTAAATATTTGCAACACATGGCAACAGAGGACTCATCTCCAGTCTACGTAAAGAACTAGAAGTAAGAAAAAGACCAATTATTCAATTTTAAAAAGTGGGCAAAGACTTGAAGGGAAGCTTCCTAGATATGCAAATGGCCAATAGCTTGAGGTGCTCAACTTCATTCATTCATCAGGGACACCGGAGACCTGCCCCCACACCCACCCCTACCCCCGAAGGGCAGAACCAAATCGGAGGTAGTCTGTCCAAGACCCACCCGCCGGGCCGCCCCCCACCCCCCGTCTCTGGCTCAGACCGTAGCAGCAGCTTCCAGGGCACCCCCTGCCCCCATTACCCACCTTCAGCCTCCACACTGCAGGGAGATGTTGCTTTAAAAACAGAAATCAGTGTGGGGGATGCACTGTGGGCGTGGGAGGGCGTGGGAGATTCCATCTCCACAGTGTGGGGACGGAGTCCGGGAGAGCAGCGGGGAGAAAGGTAGAACAACTGTGACTGAACAATAAATAAAAAAATCATGACTTCCCCCCTTTCTGCTCAGACCCTCCCACAACTCAGGACAAAGCTTCAGGTCCGGCCCAAGCCCACCAGGCCTTTTAAAATGTTTCTCCGGTGGGTGCACCTTGAGTGCCCTGTGAAAGGCGCTGTTGGTGCCCAGTACCCAGGGCCCCTTCCTCTGGTCCCCTCTGACCAGTCCTAAGTGGCCCTGTGCCTTGCTTTGACCAACCAAGTGTGGTAGGAAGTCCACATGTCTTTCTGATCAGAGGCGTGAAGAGCCAGCCAGGGCTTTTCCTCTCAAGGCCCAGTAGGCGGGGGAGGCTGCACCCGGGAGGAGCTGCCCCACCAGCCGGTGGGTCAGTGTGTCTCTGCAGCACACCCTGGCGCCAAACTACCCTGACCCACGCTCCCCCCAGCTTCCCGGCCTTGTAGATTGCCTGCACTGCCCCCCCACCCTGAGGGCACTCTGCCTCCGTCCTCCTGTTTTGCCGGGCAGTCGGCAATGTGTCCATTCCTTGCCCACCACACTGCTGTACCCCCAGCTGCACATTTTGAGTCTGCCGTGTTCAAGGACGACATACTGAATGTTGCAAACCAGCTGAGCAGAGGCAAGACAAAGTAACACAAGGACTCCAGCTACACAATATTCAAACACAGGCAAAACCACCACCGGGGAGTCCACGGAGATTTTAAGATAAAACTAAACGGGTGATCAGAGGTGCTGAGACTGGTTTCCTGTGGGGCAGAGGGAGAGCTCCGTGCCAGAGGGCTGGTCTGGGTGCCGGCAGCAGGCCCCCCCCCCCCCCCCCCCCCGCCAGACCTGCAGACCTCCCTAGGTTTGCCATGACCTCTTCTTCACGACACCAGACCTGGGTTAGGTACACAAAGGCGACCCCTGAGCATGGGCTTTAACTGCGAGGGTCCACTTCTTTTCAACAAGTACTATAAATGCATTTACTCTTACAAGGTAGTATCTCTATAAGCTACTTTTCGCATGCATCTCAGCTAAATTTGTCTGAAACTGAACTCATCTTTTTCTCAATTTGATTCCACTCAGTCTGCTTGCCCCTCCCTTTTGGCGACCACCTGGGTTGGCCAAAAAGCCCACACAGTTTTGTCCATAAAATACAGACACGTTTTTCATTTTCACCATTAATTTTTTGATTTGGATATTTTGAAGTATGCTGGCTATCTTCTGCATGGTGCAACATGGATTGTTCTTGATTAATGTCTTGATTGGATCGTTATGAACTTCAACTGGTCTACCCGACCATGGAACATCGTCCAGTGAGTCATCTCCAGCATGAAACTTTGCAAACTGCTTTTTACACGCTTGGTCGTGACAGTACCTTCTCCATACACTGCGTCTTCCCCCCCCCTTTATTTAAATACTAAAGCATAATATGCCAAAACTGTTGTCTATTTCCTTCCATCTTCAATACTAAAATGTCTACACAAAAATTCACCATTTTGGTTATTTTAAATGCATGCTTACGTGACAGCTGTCACAACACACACGAACGGAACCGTTTCAGATACAGTCAAAGACAGCGAAGTCCCACGAGGGCCTTTTTCTTATGGAAAAAACCGAAGGAACTTTTTGGCCAACCCAGTATTCCTGTGGCTGTTTATTCACCTTTTATTAGATTCCACATGTAAGTGAAACCATACAGCATTTGTCTTCCTTTGACATATTTCACTTAGCATAATGCCCTCTAGGGCCATCTCTGTCACCATAAATGAGATGTCACTCCCTTGTGGCTGACCGACACCCCACCGTGTACACCCGTCTTTACCACTGTCTGTCAGTACACGGATGCCTAGGTGTGTGGGGTCCTCCCATATTCAGCCGCCAAAACCAATGGGGCAATGAACGTGGGAGTGCACGCATGCATTAGAATTGGTGTTTATGTTTTCTCTGGACATTCAGAAGCGAGTCACGGTTGGGCCCAGTGGTATTGCTCTTGAACCTCTACAGTATTTGGCAATCCTACCAACAGTGCATGAGGGCTCCCTTTCCTCCACGTGGTTGTTTGGTGATCGCCACTCCAACCAGCGTGAAGAGACACTTCGTTGCGTGGACACTTTTCAGTTACAAAGTCAGTACATCTTGAATCACTGTTGCTGAAATGACTTCCCTGCATCTTCTGTTACCGGCACTGCCACAGCCCAGTCAATGGACTTGCCATTTCCAAGGTTGTTTCGTCTTGTCACAGGGCCATGTGAAGAGCCCGACCCCACAGGTTCTTCTCCTTCCTGCTTCGCTCCAAGTCTGCTCAGGTCCTGCTGCCCATGTGGACCAGTAAGGGAACCCAAACTCCAGGGCCCAATGTGGCCACTTCCAAATCCATTTCTCAAGGGGACAGGCCTTACTTTACTCCTGAAGTGCTAGCAGGGGTATTCCAAGTCCTAACAAGGCATTTATCCCACCTGCTCACTTCTGGCACATGCGCGCACACACGCCAACATCAGGGAGTAGCACAGATCTGCATCAGAGGGCCAACGAGCCCCCTGAACCCGGCAACGTGAGGACGCAGAAGCTCTCCACATTTTGTGCGCGCCCACGCTTCAGGGGCGCACGGGGGCTCTCAAGGCAACTCCAGGACGCTCATGAATAAAGAAGAAAAAGGTAACACTGACTGCATTTCACCCAAGATTAGCCTCCCTGTAAACGCCAGTGCAGTCTACAGAGTTACATCTCAGCACCTACTTACAGCTAGTAAGTAAAGGGACCTCGCAGGCCTGCCCTACCAGTCTAATCGGTCTCAGGAGAGAAATTCTGGATCACCTGTTCACACGGAGACACCGAGAAAGAGACTTGGTTTTTTTCCTACGTGAAGTTTCTCCCAACTGGTAGGTGTTATATTTCAGAACCTAAGTTTAAAAAAACTCCACAACCCCCCCCCCCATGCTTTCATTTCTACCCCAAGCAATGGACAGACATTAATCTTCACCTCAAGGGCTGGCAATGAGTGTAGGTTTGCAAAGGAAGGGAGATTTAAAGCGGACTTTCCAGAAGAAAAAGTTAAACTGAGAATACTGTATCACTACAAATTTTATTCAGAAACCCATCTTTGTTTTTTTTAATTGTTTTTTTTTAAAAAAAATTCCCGTTATGAACTGGGCTGGTCAATCAACTACAGCACTTCCTAGCAGACATACGGTAAAAATGGCCTGGCTCAGAATCGCCCGGATCGCTCCCGATCTCTTGACCGCCTCCTGTCACGCTCCCGTCCCCCGCCGCCTCCACCGCCTCCGCCACGACCACGGTCTCTAGACCGAGAACGACGCTCCCGGGACCTCGATCTCGATCGATGCCTGCAACCAAGGAAAAGAGACAAAACCTTGGCATCCAAACATGCAACATAATGCCACAGTGACCAACACTTCCAAATACCCTATCGAATTGAAGACACTAATAAACAAGAAGAAATGCAGCCCACCTAACTGCAAGCCACAACTGTGAGTCCTGATCTCAGGTGCTAAAGGTGTGGGAAAAGGGCATTTCGGAACCGAGAGGCAGTGTCTGCCAGGCCGAGTTCTGTGGGGAGGCAGGGCTCTCTTTCGCCTATGCTCCCTTTTGCTGACAAAGGGACAGAGTCACGGACGGCACCTGTGTTTCCCGACATGGGGTTAACGGGACGGGCGAAAACAGTCTGTGCAGGGACAGCGACTCTGTGCCCTCTGACAGCTGGGTTGTGCGGGGGCGGTGCTGAGAAAGCTGCCAACCCCACAAAACCCAGGGCATCCCAGCAGACAGGTGCAGAACACAACGAAGCCCGTGACAGTCGCCCAAGAGAACGCTGCACGCGGGCAGGAATCCTGGTTGTTTCCCACTGACCCCTTCCTTAGTCACTGAGGCTCGCATGCAAATAGGGGGCGCACACACAGAGCACTCTTCAAAGACCACATTTTACTGTTTCAAAGTGTGCACTGCATTCTAAGACATGGAACAGAAATGACATTTAGCCAAGCTTTACTTTAAAAAAAAGGGGGGGGGGGAGACAAAAGAAAACCGCCACCCGCACACACTCACTTCTTGCGCCGGCGTCCGTACAGCTCCCGCCGCAGCTCTCTGGAAATGGGCTTCAGATGCATGAAGTTGCAGAAGCCGCCTCGTGTACACTCTCTGCGGGAGGGGACCAGAGACCGTCACAGCGCACACGCACACTGCGTACCCACACCCGTCCTCCCTCCCCCCCGCCGGCGGGCTGTCCACACTTACCCCATTTCATACTGGCGGCAGCAGGCTTCCCGGAAGTCGGTCACCGGGGAGAGCTCGGCGTGGATGGGTTGCCCATTGAACCAGCGGTTGTTCAAGTCAATCACAGCTTTCTCTGCATCTTCTTCACGGCGAAACTGAGAAGACCAAAGAAAAATGCTTGCTACCACACTTGAACAACACACTTGCAATGACTGAGTTAAGTACTTGTTGTGTGCTCACGCAGGTTAAGCAATTAAGGTGGAATAACGTAGCAGACACCTTCTATTTGCAATGAGGTTAAACTTGTGATGGTCCAAGATCATGGCAAACATGTGGTCTTGGCTCTCCAATTCGGTTGGTCAAATGAACAAGTGTAATGATTTCTGTAGGCAATTACAGTTTCATTGGAAGAAAGCACACACCCCAACCGACTCCTCCCCAACAGTCTCGAGCAGCCGTGGAGGTGCTCGCCGCTGCACGCGGCAGTGCACCGCCCCTCCCGCAGGCACGGGCGCCTGCATGGGCTCGCACCCGCCCGAAGCACTGAGCGCTCAGAAACCCAAGGCTAACGGCTGGAACAGCCAGGTGCCATCGCCAAGAGACGACACTCCCACACGTCACCCCCCGCCTACCTTCACATACACGTTTCCAACGAGGTGGTCCCCGAGGTTATCGCAGACGTTCATCTCCTCCACCTCCCCGTACTTCTCCTCCATTTCTGTAAAAACCTCCTGGAGGAACAATGGTGTTCACCAGTCACAATACGTTAAAGACGGAAGGCTAACTGAACACAACTCACTGCGAGTCTTTCCAGTAACGGAGAAAAGTTTAAAACCCCTCCAGACCGACGCCGCCAGTATCTCACCTCAAAGAACTCATCATAGTGCTCCTGCATCTCAACGTCACTCACGGCACCTGCGAACGACAGAAACCTTGCTGGTTAGGGCAGGGCTGGCCCGAGGGAGCGCTGTGCTCACACCAGCCTGCCAGTGACACACCCGGGGCTGTCTAGAGCCCCCGGGGCCGCGCGCACAGCCAGCCGTTACAAGTGCCACAGCGTGGCGAGACCTCCCAATGCCCATGACAGTCCCCGCGCTGGCCATTAAAACCACACGTTTTAATCAGCATCAAAGGGCATTTTCGGAAAGTATGAGGAAAAAGTTGACTCTCAAAAATTTTCGAAAAACTTTTTTAAGACTTAAAAAAAAAATAGAGGCCAAATAATCACATTTTCCCCCTTCATTAGGTTAAAATGAAAGCTGAAATGAACCAGGGTGAATGACTGAAAGCTTATGTCCCTGACTCACTTCTCTTCACAGGTTTCAGACACATGGAGCGCTGTGAAATTCTTCCTAATGCGATTAAAGCCCGAGCGACCACGAACGCCCAGAGGAATAGTTACCCAGTTTATTTCCAGTATTTTGAATGCCCTTGGAATAATGGGAAAGTCACAGTGCTTTGCTGAAGAAAGCCTTTTTATTTTCTATTTTCCTCATTTTTTCTTCTCCGTAACTCACAGACATTAGGTGAAATTATGTCCATTCTGTGGGTGGATTTTGCAGATTTAAATTCTATCTCCATTATCATTTTTTTTACTCAATTTTAGAGTTGTTCTAGCCTAAATCCAAGAAGTCACAAAGCTGGCGAGGCAATACACTGATTTCCCAACAGCTTGAGTGGGAGCCTAGGAAGGCCGAGAGGCACCTGGGCCGGGCTGGCCGAGTCTTCGACTGCTACCTGTGGGGCCAGGGCCCTCCCAGGCCGGGCAGGCCTGCTGGCGAGACCTGCTGCAGGCCCTGAGCTGGGGTGGTGCAGGGCTCTCTGTCCCAACTGCTGCCTTGAAAACCTTTTTACTTTTAAGGACAAGAACTTTAATCTTTTGATTCTGAGTGCCTTAAGTTTGCCTCCTAATACTTAACCTCCCTGCATGTTAGTTCTTTTGCATTTATGGAATCCAAGTCACCTTAGAACCCAAACCCACTGAACATAGGCGGCAACTACACTCGATGGCCCGTCCTACTGGAAGGCTGTCAAGAATCCGTCTCCTCCCCGAGTAGAGGCCACGCTCTAACCAGAGTTAGGCAGACGAGCCCATTCCGAAGGGCAGGTCCCAGTGTTTAAATTCATGCCTTTCCCGCATGGAGAAAAGGAGAACAGAGGAACTGAGTCTCTACTCGCTCAAGGTCTGAGCGGTCTGGTGGAGACCCTAACGCCAGCTGTGCCGGGACATCCGTGTTCTGCTGTACAGAACACGGAATGTTGTATTTCGTCAACTCTGGACAGGTGCACTTGAAAATGCTTGGAAGCAGGCATGTTTTATCTTTTATACTTAAAAATTTTAAATCTATCAAAATGAATCGAAAAGCAGAGATGAGCGATTAAAAACTAACCAGCTAAAAAATAATTTACACAACTCAAAATACTTTAAGTAATACAATCTGAAAAACACCCAGTTTTCTTACGGAAACATTCTTAAACTGGGATTCATAATTAAGTTTAACATAAGCACAGAAAACCCATGTTTCTATGAACGAAAGGGTATAGTCAAAGGAATCATCACTTTCAGGAAAACCGATGAACCCAAATGGCTGAAATTTTGTTGGAAGGGTCTGATGCCAAATGTTTCAGGTTGTTTATCATTTAAATTGATTTCCTTTTTAAACTGTAGTCAGAATTACATTTGATTTGTACAGCCTGGACCTGGAACTAGAACATTTGTGTAGCTAAACTTATTTTGTTGCACACATGGAACAAGAGCACTACGAATTTCAAATAAAGACACCAGGAAACTAACACAACATTCTTTTGCCAATAAAGAACCCACAGTCCCCAAGTAAACAAGCAGGGCAAAGAGTTATGAATTGTTGTTAGTCCATTATCTACTTTCCATTCGTTTAATTTTAATCAAGTTCATATATAAACATTTTCCTCCATCTAATTGAGATTACTTCTTAAAAAACATAGGAACCGAACAAAAACCAGGTACTTTAATCCAGGGGCTCCTGAGTCAATCCTGCCACCATCAGATCTGGGGACAGACTTCTCCGCCACCAGGTCAGCGTTACCAACTGAAAACTTTTAGTGTCCAGGCAGGGAAACCCACCCTGCAGACCCGGGCGCTCCTGCGTGTTACCGGGAGACCTCCAGCGTGGGGATGGGGAGAGGAGGTGGTAGCCGCTGGGACCTTCCCCCCAGTGTGGGTCACCCATAAACAGAGGGGCTCTAGGCCAAGGCTGCACTGGATTTAGGCCTGCGCTACCAGGTCACCTTTGACAGCGTCTCCTGTTAATGTTTACACCTTTCAAACCAACTGGTGAATGAGAAGCAACTGCCCTGTGGCTCAAACCCCTTGGCTGTAACAGAAGTCCAGAATGCTCATCCCAATTTATCCACAAGTGACTGTTGACTCTACAGCTTGACAGTTTTATTTCAATTTCAGTTTTTGTTTTTTGAGCTATCCAATGATACTGGTACCTTGTTCTCCACCCCAGTAAATACAATATTCATAATTCAAATGTTTACCAATACATGAAGAGACAGATAATGTCTACTAAATGCCCAGCTTAGATCGATTTCCCCACCAAGCACCCCGTATTTTCCGAATGCAGTGAATCAATTCCTGAAGTGGAGACAGCTGCATAAAGTACTCTGGCTAAAGCCTGAATGAGCACAGGGCTGGTGCTGAGGGACACTCAGAGGACTCTCACTTGGGAAAAATTCTCAGAACAATGTTCTCACAATTAAAGCATGAGCTCCAGAACGGAGGTTAAGGGGGAAAAAGTCTAATAAGAAATAAAATCTGAGAAGTGATGCCAGGACAACTTTTCTAAGTAAGAGACTTTCAAGAACTGCTGCCCTCAGGGGGAAGAACTCAGCTCCACGTTTCACTCCACGGCTACTCTCCCCTAGGGGTGGTCAAGGCACGGGGGTGGCAGCCCCAGTCAGCTGTAAGGGTGCTCTTTGCAGCCACCACTTTCCTTCTTGGGTCAGTGGGCAGGGGCTCAGATCTCTGACCAAGGCTTCCGCGGGGCGGCGGGACAAAAGCCCCCGGCACTTCCAGCGGAGGCGGTCCTCGACACTAGACAGCAGACCAGGTGGGGTGGACGCTGAGCTCTGACACGCAAGCCCAGGGAACCGGGGAAGGAACTTGGATGAACTTACAGCGCAAACCGTCAGCAGACTGGGAAGAGTTTTGAGGGTTACGGTAAATGTTCAAGAGGGCAATGGTCTGAAATACAAAACGCAACAACTTTATATTATGGAAAATTAAATGTAAACACTTAACCGGTTTCCTGCGGCGATCGTTTCAGTCGAGACTCAGTGCTGAAAAAAAGCAAGTTATTTCTTTTGAGGCAGAGATGCTTTCGATGGAGGTCTCGGAGCACCCTGCCTGGCACTGCCGTGCACAGAGATCCCATGATATGCTGGTATTGTATTTCCGTCCGCAGGGCGCACGTTCTCCATTTCAACCTTCCAAGCCAGGGAGGAGTGCAAGTGACTCGGCAAGCTACCACCAAGACATTCTTAGAAAAACTTTTAATGGACAACTGAGAAAGAAAAAGTGCCCATGTGAACTGATGACATAATTACTGTATTAGAGAAATACAATAATTACATATCATGAAATCTCCATTTCCTAGAGGAAAAATTGTAATGTTGAAATAAAACCCATGCTCATTGGGCAACTTACCTTAATGATTCCTAAATATTCCTAAGAGTATTAACTTTACAGAAAGAACTTAATAAATGCCAGGGGTTCAGTCACTGTAAAGACCAATGACCGGCTGATAATGTTCAAATGTCACACGGACAGACCCCTCTCATTAACAAATGTCAATCAAGGGAAGAGACCTGGCCAAGCGACCTTCCCTAGGACAGCCTCCTGAACTCGGCCAAGTATCAAGTTCTTGCTGTACACGCCAAGGACTTCCGCCACCTTGTCCTGTTTGCAACAGCTCTATGTCAGCAGCTCAGAAGCCAACATTGTGTCTCAATTAAGAGTGGGCTCTTTAACACCATTGTTTTAAAAAAATTTCTCCAACTGTGGGACTTACAGTGTGAGCCGTCAGCCGTCTGTGCACTGTTTTGGGGATTACGATAGATGTTTTGAATCAAGATGGTCTGCGGGGAAAAAAAAATAAAAAGGGGAATTCTACTGGCTGCTGTGCATATATTAGACAATTGCAAAGAGACAACTTGCTCGCAAATGGCTCAATGCTTCTTTGCTTCCCACAAGTCAGACAATTGTCTTCTTAAGAGAACACCTAAACCATCATATTATGAAAACAGAGTTTGAGCAGTGACTTAGCTCAAGTCAGCCAGCAACCAAGAAGAAACTGTAATCGTCACTTTGAGTAGTCCCACATTGTGTTTTAATGCACGATAAATAGAACATTAGCATTTTCCTGTACTTTAAGCTGGAGACACCAAGATGTTGAAAAATTTACATCATAATCACATCCCCATACAAAATTCTAAAAACCACCAACCAACCAACCAAACGTATGACCCGACTATGTGCGGTCTCCCCAGTCCTCTGGTCTCGTGGGAAACAGGCACAGCTAATGGCTCTCCTAACTCTCACGGAACCTATCAGATTTACGTTTTCTTGGTAGGGTCTCTGTTTACATAATACAATAGCTTAAAACATTTGCTCTTTTCCGATCCTTCTTTTAAGGGAAAAAAATCCTTTTAGCCCTTCTGCTTTAAACTGGATCAGGCAGACTTGAAACCTTACATTGTACCGTTCTTCTTAAAATCAAGTTGTCTGAAAAAACAAACCATGTTTAAGTTAGTAGACTAATATATTACACGAATTTTAATGTCCACATCACTGTAAGAAGCGTAAAAAGAAACCCACACTGAATTATGCTAGGTATTTATAAGCTGAACCAATAAAACACATACTTTAGAAAAATAAACGTTCAGTTTCAGCAACATGTATCCAAAGCAGTTCTTTAAGTGGTCTCACAGAACCGACCAGGTGCAGTCCTAGCTACCTTTAAAGGGGAGGGGGCGTGCAAACACCCCCAGCAAAGGTCTGCGGCTGCTGCTGGGAAACCCGCTGCAGAGAACTCTCCACAGCAGGCCCTCCACTCAGGGCCTGGCACCTTCCCCGGGCCAAGGAGCACTGCCCCGAGGCAACTCGTCTTGGGCCTCGGCTGTGTCCCAGAGCTGACTTAGTGTTTCCAACTGGAATTAACCAGTGACAACTCCGATAGAAAGCTATAATGAGCCCGATTATTCACCAGATAAATACCTTTAAGGTTTCACCCAGGCAACCTGCCAGTGCTGGCTGTTTAGTGAAAGAGCTGTCATTTAAAGGGGGCAATGCAGTGCCATTAAAATCGGGGGTGGTTAAGATGACCTAACATCAACCAACCAAATGAAAATGAGATGTTCAAGTTAACACATACAACCGACCCCACAAACTTTAATGGCATCATCGCCTGTTTTGATCCCAAGTGCTCAAACTGACTTGACATTAACATTTCAGGTAATAGGTGATTCAGAAACAGAACAAACCAGGCGTCTCTGGGAAAAGAAAACTGTAACGGGGCAATTGCTCTTTCAGCCCAACACTTAACACATCTGTAAGTAACCCTCCAAAATCCAAGAACTCAGAGGACACTGAAGGTGCTCGGTAATTACTCAATCTATGACCACAAGTTTAGTGGTGAGATTTAGTTATATACCAAAGCACTTAAAAATTAGAACAGAAAATTTAAAGCAAATTTCCCAATATTCTGAAACTTGAGACATGTCCAAAGCTATTAAAACATAGATATTTATTATACTAAACACTTGGTAATCAGGAATAATGAGGGAAGGCAAGCCATCACCCCCCCCTTTTTAAAAACAAATTAAACTGTGGGGTTTCCTATGGGCTCAAATTAGAAAATACTAAAGCCTTTTCTTACACCAACTGGCTGCCTTCCCTAAACGCTCAGACATGTGAAGAGACATGTGAGCTCCGAGCAGTGTCTGGCAGCATCCAGGGGCAGACAGCATAGTTGCCCAACGGTTCAGAGGCTGCACGACCAGACTTCGCAGGTGGGCAGAAGGAGCTCAACGGCCCTCAGTCTACAAAGACTGCAGTAAAAATTCTTCATATTCCAAATGTTCTAGCACACATGGGCATAAGTTTTCTGTTAGCATTAGAGGTGCTTTCTCCCTTTATTATAAGTCAGCACTTACAGGGTACAAAATCGTGCCTCTTCTTCAATTAATCAAAAATATAAAAAATCATGATTCTTGACTAAACCAAATCAAAGCAGACCTAAACCCAAGGTAACAGGCATCTCTCAATTTATTGAACAGACTGGCTATAAGTAAGTGACGTGAATGCCCATCTTCCAGTGTTAAGTTTCTTCTTTAATGTTTCTATGCCATGATGTAACTTCCATCTCCTTGACTAGGGGTCTGAAGGAGGGGACATACCCTGCACGCAGACCCGAGTGCAGGGCACGATGGGTCTGCCGGCAGTCACCCCGCCTCTCCTGGAGGGGAGGGTGGTTCAGTCCACATCTACGGCTTGGAGAGCAAAGAGCAGAAAGCCCACCCTGAGTCTCCCATGCCCGAACAGGCTAATGAGGGCTGGCACAGCTGCCCCGGGTGCATGTCTGTGAGAGGGCAGGGAGGGTGGCAAGGCAGTAAGGACCAGTCACTGTCAACGTGCGCACAGCAGAACTTCGTTCTAGCAGGTTTCTCAGCAGTACAAACAGTGAGTGGTGCTCTTAGACCTTCCACCGGGGTGGCTCACCAGCCTCATCCTCACTGCCACAGGAGAACACACTCATTATGAACACAAATGGAAAACAAACCAACCAGACCAATAAAGGCCCCACTTATATATACATGTTATTAACTGGCTCTGTAAAGTGTATCAAGTTCTAATAATTTATGTGAATAAAGAAAATACAGAAAAAATAAAAACAAACCTGGCTAAAGGTTGGTTTATTGTGCAACCGAGAGCATCTGTCTCCATGACGACATGCCCCAATTTTGAAATAAAATGAACAGTTGACTCTGTAAAGGAAAATAAGAATGAATTATTTTGCTGGGAAGACACCAAACATGAAAATATGTCATCAACATGATACATGCTATCAAACGACTTTGCAAAAATAAAGGCACATCATTTTTGATTGGCAGCAGATATCCCTCCCCCTACATGGCACTATCTTAGGACTCCTTAGCTTCGTATCTGCCCCTCTGCGAATTGTTTCAATGAAGAGTACTCACACCCAGTTCCTCCTTATTCAAATCCCTCCACTTTTGACTTCTGCTTTATTGTTTTCTTGTAAGTGAAATATTAGTCTAAAACTGAACTGAACTTAAAACGTATCTGTTCTTTAGTCTTCCACGATCATGATTTCTCTTCAGGACACTAACACAGTGTAGTGAGGGTCAAGATCCTACCCTGCTACTAGCTGCCTGGACTTGGGCAAGTCACCCCACCCCCGGGGTCTTAAAAGCTATCTGTAAAGTAAGGAAAATGCCAACCAGGCACTGTTCTGAGTATCAGCTGTCACGTAGGTATGCCTCACGCAGTGCTCATTCAATGCAATCATTATCTAAATAAAACAGAAAATAAAGTCCAGGGTCTCTCACCATGAGACCAGACCAGTAGGAAATTTCCACAAACAGGTCTGAAGTGAGTAAGTCTTCTGGTTTCACTATATTAAAAACAAACTATCAGGGAACTCAACCTCCACCTCTGTCCCTACTGCAAAGCCTTCCCTCAATGCTGGCCAAATACTGGATGACCCAGATCAAATCCCAACTAGCAATCCAGCCAGTGTGATAGCAGTGCCATGTGACTTAGCAGATCTGTGGTCAACCATGAAAACTTACTAGATGAGTCCCATTCAAATTTAGATTGGCCGAGGTGGGAAGGTTACCCTGTAGATTCAATTTTTTAGCAAGCACCATACTTGAACAGCCAACCCAGAGTAAAGACAGAAGAACTTCAATGAACTCTGAAGGGCCACTGATTTGTTATTACGTCACAATAAAGTTGGGAAAGTCTGAACTTACCAGGGGAGGAAAATGGTTGCACTACTATACATGTTTGCAAACTAACCGTGTAGGTCTTACTTAAGATTACCTAACTTGAGTATACAACCTTTTATCTTCAGAGTCCCCGGAAAATGAAGAGCTCATTTAAAAAAATAAAAATCTCAGAATAGGCAAAACCCTGTCTGAACAAACAACATCCAACTATTCCACAATCAGAACAATCCTCGTTCCTATGCTTCCAGAGACGGCTTTCATTTGGTGATGTCCAGTTTAACCACCCCATCCTGTCTCTCTGAAATGAGAACAGGAATAACTTAGATTAATCAACCAAGTTCCCTGAATTAAAACCATGGCTTTTACAATGCGGCTCGGAGAGGTAGTTATTGCAATAAAACCATGTAGTAAGAGTTTTATAGAGTAACAGTGAAGACACCACCTGATAGTTTTTTTTAAACCACAATAAGGAAATAAAAAGCATCAGACTGAAAGCCTATACTAATATAAGACAGAGAGTGAAATTAACAATGCATGTTCTTGTCCTGCACTCACAGAAACCTTTCTCCAAGTGGGGCTGGTCCATTCAATCAATTACATTTAAAGGCAAGTTCCCCATGGTACTTCTCTGTGAGCCCGAAGCACTCAGGTGCACATTTCTTCCACAGCATGTAACATTTTTTGATGCCTTTTACTTTAATTATCCTTTACATGCATGCGCCCCCTCTTTGAGAACAAGATCCAAATTTTTATCCACCTTTGAGTCTCCAGAGATTGTATTTGGGTTGACACCCAAGTGACTATGACTGATGATTCTGTCTTGTGATTTTTTTGTTAGGAAAAAGTATACCCCCCTCTTCCAGACAACACAGAAGATTCTATCATGTGTAACAGAAGACATTTTTACAAGATGTATCCTGGAAAATAGAAACAGTTTAAACAGTCTGAAAAAAGTGGTACTATGACAAACTTACAGGTTTACCATTAAAATTATACATTCACATAAGCCTTATATAGCCTTGAAAAATCCCAAAGAACAATTACTTAATAAAAGAGTAGATTAAGCCAGATGTTTATTCTTTAGGTTTTCAAAATAAGAACTATTCTCTGGACGTCTGAAGACATTTTTAGTCTAAATTTCAACACGTGCAAAGGTGGCACTTAAAGTCAGAATTTTTAACTTTTAATCTAACAATTAAGGAAGGCATCCAACCTTTAAAAAAGGGGGCACCCCCCTTTTTTCTTATTTTGGAACTGCGTCTTCAAACATTTTAAAACCTCAACAATTAGGACCCTACGTTATCTGACAATAAACAGCAGCGAGATGTGTACTAGAGCTTCCCCGACACGTTAGAGACTGAAAGTTGGGGGGGAACTGTTTAACACTGACAACTTCATTACAACTCGAGACGGCTTCCGAAAGCCACGCCGGCCCACTGGGCCGTACAGAAGCGCCGCGCGGGTAAAGGCCGCGCCGCCCGGGCGGAAGGCCGCTACCAGCCCGCGCTCCCACAGCCGGCCCGCCCGCCGGAACGTCCACGAGGCGGCGGTGCGCGGCTCCCGAGGCCGGAAAGACCGACGCGCTCCTCCCCCACCCGCCCAGGCCGCCCGCCACCGCTCGGGGCCCGCTGCCGTGCCCGCCCGCCTCCCCAGCCCGGAACTCCGGCGGGCGGATCTTACTTGTCTTTCTCGGTGCCGAAGATGGAGGCCAAGTACTCCGCCATTTCCCACCCGCAGGCGCCGACACTGCTGCCGACACGGCCGACCCAGCCCGACGCCCGCGGGAGACGTCACCCGGACGCGACGACGCTCGCCCCGCTCCCCATGGCGTGGGGTTGCTGCCCAATCGGGTGAAACGCTGCCTGCGCCTGGGCGGAGCTTGGGGCGCGCGGGAGGCACTATCTTCTGGGCCGCAACTTCGCGTGCTGCCCGCTGGCGCCTCCTGCCGGCGTGTTCTGACCCCTGCGTCCCCAATCCTAATCGCGGCCTGGGGAAACCTAACACGCTATCAGGGCCGGGAGAAGAAGGCGGTGGGCGAGGGGCTTCTCCACGCCGTCACCTGGGGCTGGGTCCCCGGCTCCAGTTCCTAGGCTGGGCCCGGTTGCAAACTAACCGTGTAGGTCTTACTTTAGATTACCTAACTTGAGTACACAACCTTTTATGTTCAGAGTCCCCTGAAAATGTAGAGCTTATTTAAAAAAGTAAAAATAAAAATCTCGGAATGGGCAAAACCCTGTCTGAACAAATAACATCCAACTATTCCACAATCAGAACAATCCTCGTTCCTGTGCTTCCAGAGATGGCTTTGGAAGATTAACCTGGAAGAGCCAGGATGTCTCCCTGTTTTCAGGTGGTCCGGAGAGTCTCTTCCTGGCAGTACTTAGCTTAGTGTGTGATTGAACAATCGGGACCAATCTCGGGGGGTGGGGTGTGTGTGGGGGGAACAGACATCACTAGAGTCCTGCTTGGATTCGAGGGGAACAAGACCAGAGAGGAGGTGGTGATTAGAGGAAGAGTTTGGTTAGTGAGAAACGACTGGGCCTGACGGGCACGAGTGGCTGGTATAGTGCTCAGAGTATGGGGCGCAGGCTGTGGAAACAAATGGACCACTGCTAACTACTGTGATGACTACTGTGACCGTGCCCCCCCATTCCATATGTTGAAGCCCTGACTCCTAGCACCTCAGACTGTGACTATAGTCAGAAGGGGGGTCTTTACAGAGGTAAATTGGTTAAAATAAGGCTGTTAGAGTGGGCCCTAATCCAATCTGACGGGTGTCATTTTGAGATGAGATTAGGACTCTGGGACAACACTCAGAATCCAACGAGCCAAAGAGACGCCTTGATCCCATCTGGAGACTTCGGGTCCCCAGCACTGTGAAGGAATATATTTCTGTTAAAAAGGGGTTTTAAAATTGTGAGGTCTAAAAACATATTAACACATTTCCTCCCACCTTTTAAGTTCTGATAGGTTAGGCTAATAACCAAATTAACAGACAGATTACCAAGAGAAAAATCAAAGTTTAATATGCATGAGCATGGGGAATTCACATAGGCATGGTAATTCCATGAAAATTCCAAAGACAGTGAGGCAACACTTGGCATATAAGACATTTTTTGGACAAAGGAGAAAGGAGGGTGGACTGGGGTATGGTATCAGATTTCAGAAGTGAGAACGGGTGATTTACCAGGAGTTGAAGAGCAGGAACATACAGGACAGGAAAATCCCCGAGCAGCAACTGAGAAACAATGGCACACGGGGTATCTAGCTAATAGGCGCCTCCCTTTACCACAATTAATTCAAACTAGGCTAAGGCAGCATCTTTGTATCATTTTCCTGAAGCAGATTTCTCTAAATCTCTTGGGCAAGGAAAAATGGGGAGGGCAAACCCTCCCTCTGAGTCTTGTTTCTTAATAAACCAGCTTAAAATCAGTATCCCCCAAACGCAGTTTAAGGTGGCAAAACTTTGGTCCTCTCAGAAGGAGGTAGCTGGGAGGGCTGGGGCACTGAGTCTGAGACACCCCACTGCCCTGGTCTGGGGAGGAGCCTGCTGGTCCTGTTGTGTGTATTCTGACCTCCTTCATTCCCCCAGTGACACCTGGAACTCCATGTCAACGCTGCCTGCCCCCACCAACTGAGTGGGACCTCACTGTTGTGCTCCTGGGAGGGTGGTGAGTGTATTGACAAGGTCATGGCCTGAGCTTCCAGACTGCTGCTTGAGCAGCCACTGGGGCGAGTCAGCACCTACTAAGGCAGGAAATGGCTGAGGAGGAGCTGATCTGGGTGTAGTTCCGGCCTCCGTGAGATGCATACACGTGTTACTGTTTCACAACCTTAACTTCCTGCTCCTGGATCCCCACAGAGAGAGGACAAGTCATCCCCCGTTCACTTCTTGGGGCTTGGCCCTACACCTTGCTTTGCCCGTGGAATTCTAGGGGACAAAATGTGAGCCACTTCTGAAATAGCAGGTCCCAAGTGTCTGCTCCCTTGCAATCCAGGCCTGTAGAAGTGCAGGGAACAGGTCAGAGCAGACAGGCCTGCGGCCCGAGTTGGCCCAGCAGGTGAGGGAGCTGGGAAAGTGCTTGTTTGTAAGCCACGTAGATTTCAGGGTGGGCACCGCAGCCTGAAATCTGACTAATGCGGCAAGGACGTGAATGGCCTACCGGGGTTCCCAGTAGAAATGACCAGCGACCCTTTGTGTGGGGGGTGGGACAAAGGGAGGTTGACAGTTGTGATGCAAAAATACAGTAATAACACAAGAATAAATTGTGTTTTGCATACAGCTGTAAACCTCCTTTTGCCCACGCCTGTGTATCTGTCTGATAGAATATTTGGGGATGACAGGTACACCCTGTGTCTGTGCTATTCAGTGACGTGGGCACTGACCCCACATGGCTCTTGAGCACTTGAAATGTGGCTAGTGTGAGGAAGGTACTGAAGTTTAAGTTATATTTTAATTAATTTAGACTTAAACTTAAGTGGCCACATATGGTTACCGGATTGAGGCATCTAAAGTTGCCTTGGCTGGGAGAGGCCCAGCCAAGTGGCATGTTTGGGACTTGTTAATAAGTGTAGAGTCAGCAAACATAAATCTGTGGGCCTCTGCTCATGTATACGAGATATTAGTGTGTGTTTTTCTGGGGGGAAACACAGTCCGTATTTGGTCAGATTCCCAAAGGGATCTTATCCTCCAAAGTGAACAGGCTTCCCCGGGGCCCTCAGGGTCCTGGACAGTGCCTGGTAGTTAAGAACTCCATTTGTGTTTGTTTGGGGAGGCAGTACAAGTCCTGCTCAGAAACCAAGTCTGGTTTCTTTTGCCAGCAATGTGTTTAGCACAGGTTCACTGTGGGAATGTCACAAGCCAATAGCACGCAGGATACAGTCTCTTACTGAGCAAAATAAAGGAATGACATACTCCAAACAACTCACAGGTTGATCGCACTATTGTTCCAGGCAAGGGGAGATGGAGGAATAAAGCCCAAACCTCATGTGATGGGTACCTATTTATACCTGGAGGTGAAAAACCAGAGGGCTGATTCCCAGCTGCCAGGGCAAAAGCCTGGGTCCCCTGTGGGTAGAGCACGTTGCTAGGGAACAAAGACGCCAATGTTGGGGAGCAGGCTGATCTCTTTCAAAGGGCTCCAGTCCAGGAGGCCTGCCCCGCCCAGACAGGAGGGAAGCCCCGAGGATCTGAGGAGAGTGTTAGGTTAGTGGAGAGTCTCCTCGCCCAAACCGAAACTCTCCCAGTTCCCAGTTGCAGTCTCCACGTCCTGTCCCCTCGCCACAGCTGCTTCTCTGCTTGTTCCTACCAGTGAGTCCCCCGTGGGGCCTCTCCACAGCTGAGGCTCCCGCGGGCTGCCTCTGGGTGTCTGACTGCCTCCCTCTCGCAGGCGTTCCAATCCCGTGGCCTCTCTCCACTGCCACCGCACTTGCTCTCTTCTCGGCCTCACTGTCTCCCCTACGGCAGTGCTTAGGCTGCAGTCGGAGCTCAGGCCGCAGTGACACTCGCCACGGGCTGGGGGCTCAGACAGCTAACGTTCGTCTCCCTCAGTTCTAGAGGCTGAAGTCCCCGATCAAGGCACCGGCAGACTCGATGTCCAGGCGGGGCCGGCTCCCTGGTTCACAGGAGGCCAGCTTCTCACTGTGACCCCACGTGGGAGCAGAGGCAAAGGAACCCTCTGGGGTCTCCACTGTTACAAGGGCACTAACCTCATTCAGGAGGCCTCTGCCCACATGACCTACTCACCTCCCAAAGGCCGCACCTCCAATGCCACCACACTGGGGAGGGGGGGAGAATTTAACAAATGAATTTTGGGGGGAGGTAAACATTCAGTCTATAGCACTGGGTTATGAACATCTCTGGACTTACCTCATGGGATTAGGAACAACTACTTGGACAGTGGTACAGAGCTTGGCACTTAGTAGGTGCTCACTAAACAGTAGCTACTTTCATCACTGAACTGTGTCTAACTGGATGTTGTCATCTCTCTCTTACTAGACCGTGGACTCTTTGAAGACCCCAGTCCTATCTTTTCCTCGATTTCCTGGTAGAAAAGACCTACAGTCCCTTATCTGCAATTCTGAAATGCAAAAATTCTGAAAACTGAAAGTCTTTTTTTCCCCCTTTTCCTATGAGTTTGGTGCCAAGATTTAAGTTGCTGCAAAAAAATCAGGCCTGGGCTGCTGCAGGGCCCTGGAGCTCCCCACCATCAGGCACCTGTACTGGCTGCCGACAAAGTGCACATCTTAAGTTTATGTTTCCTTTTGTGACTTTGGGTTCAATTGCACTGTGAATGCATCATAAAGAGTTAAAGACGTCCCATCGCTTGCTGTGGGTGGGAACCATAAAAATTCTGTCCTTGTAGATAGTGGAAAGTGGGTGGATTTGGGAACCACCGTGACACATGACTTAGGAAACCAGAGGACAAGCAGTTGGAGTTACACAGTATCGTTGATGACCAAGAACGACTGGGAAGTGGAAAACACTGTGTGGGCAGGCCGGAGAGGGAGGTGTCGATCCACCAGGGGTGGATCGAGTGAAGCTGGCAGCGAAGAAGCCAACGGACGCCAAGCAGCAGTTTGCCGGTCGTGAAACAGCTCGGAAGCAGCAGGAAGGACTGATCTTTGAAGGTGAGCATGAATATTCAGAAGGCTGGCTGTGCAAATTTAAGAAGTGTGGTGTTGTGAAGGAACATGAACACAAGCGGAGGAGAAACTTCCAATTAGAAAGCATCTGAAGATTGTACTGCAGGATTTGTTCAGATCAGACTGGGTGGAAACCGCAGGATGAACCAGTCTCCAGCACTGAGGAG